AATACTATTGATTTTATAATAATTTTATAAGAAAACATAATAACCAATAGTATTTCGTTAATAAAACATGATCTAGTGATCCAAATCAAATGAAATTGGTACCATTCGACTCCTCTCCTCGAGAGGATTCTAATGGTACCAAAATCATCCAATTTGGACCACTAGGTCAAAGTTTAGACAAATTCTTATAAAAAAATTGCATTATATTTTGGGGAACCCCTCTCTAAATATTGGAAAATCATTATATTTTGGGGACCCCCTCAAACATAACGTTATTTATGGATGCCCCCAAACCTGCCAGAGTGATACATTCCCATATATGTATTGTCGCAGGTTAATCTGTGATTTTCGTCAACAAAATAACCTAACCCAGATAGAAGCACTTAATCGCTTGGCTAATACCGAATATCAATGTTTATACTAAGGCAAGTATTTTACTTATTATTCTTGTAAAGTTTATTAATTAATAGAGTGAAACTAATCTAAACTAACTCTCTTTATTATTACTATCGCTTTGATCCTTATATATATATTTGACTCTAATCATTACATTATATATTGGTCATCTGACCATTGTCTCTTAAATTGCTTACATATTTTATTTGATTGTTCATGTATCTATTAATAATAAACTATTTTGTACCACTTAATTGATTCATTCATAATATATTAATTATCTTACTTCGGTATCTCAAATGTCTACCGACTGTCCCTAATTCCGATCGATTATTACGTGAGTTACGTGAACAAGATATTGATTGATTGATCACTCTTACTCTTATTCTTAAACATATTCACTGCATATTGTATGTCATCATGATACAAGCTAGAGCCCCAGGAACTTTGTCCTTAGAGTTTTCAGCACCTGCAAGGTCTATTTTCCAACATAATTTGCGAAACTAATCCCAAATTTGCATAATTTTCCACAACTTCTGTAATAACATTCTTCTACGTTCAAACACACTTCTTATTCGGATTTTAGGTAAGTGTTTACCCATTCTATACTTTTTCTTTTTCTTCGAGCTTTTCTCATTATTCTTAATCATTTCACTGATCCTCATTTTACCTTTACCATTCCTATGATCTTTCTTCTTATACTCTGTTACTCCACTATCAACATCTTCATTTTTTATTTTATCATTTTTTCTTTTATTCCAATACACTCCAATTTATTCACTGCACTCCTTATGTCCATTATGCCCTTTTTACTTCTTTCGGTCTCTACTACTAATTCACAAACTTCAGCTCTACCACCTAAGCTAGTTTCCCTGAAGTTAGCAGGTTCTAAGTGTTACTCAACTAAATTTCTTCGATATTTAGAGCTACTGATGCTTTTCTCACAATATACTCCAGCTTATTTCGTCCTTCCAACTTGTACTCTTCAGCTAATTTCAAATCCCATTCGAGATTATTCTGTCTATTTGAATCATTATTTTCATCAGAATTTAGGCACTTGGCAAGTTCCTTGCTTTCATCTTTTTCTATACCGATTCTATAATGATAACAATCTCCAATACATGTTCCAATAGCATAATTCACATCAGCAAGATTTTGGTAGTAATCAACTGCCTTACGCCAGTCCTTATCATTATTGATTTTATGAACAAAAGCCTTTTGTTTATTCATTTTATCTCCAATTCCATAATAATAATAATGATCTTCATCATTGCTTCTGCCAACTTCACTCATATCTTCAGATTTTTGATAATGAATGATCGCTTTATATTTATCCTTTTCAATACCATTTCCATGATAGTAACAATGTCCAACAAATGGTCCATTAGCATTACCTATATTAGCAAGATTTTAATAACAATCAACTACCTTATACTGATCCTTATCATCACCAATTTCATAAACGAAAGCCCTTCGTTCATCCATTTTATTTCCAATTCTATGATGATGACAATAGTCATTATTATATGTTCCATCAAAACCACCCATATTTTCCAATTTTTGATAATGAATGATTGCATTGTGTTTATCCTTTTCAATATCGACACCATAGTGATGACAGCCTTCACTAAAAATTCTATTAACATTACTCAATTCTGTTAATTTTTTGATAATGTTTGAATATTGGATCACTACTTTCAGTTATTTTTCCTTGGTCAAATACTAATCTATTTTCAGATCCTAATCTAGGTTCTACAAATGATTCTCTACTTCAATGTACTCCAAATTCGATTCATTATCAAGATATTCACCACTATATGATTTATTAACGCTTTCTTTATCTACAAATTTTCGGCATGATTCGAAAGCTTTAACTTCATCATTTTTGATCTTTTTCTTATCAGGACTTTTGGATAAATTCTCCACTTTTGATTTACTCATATCTGTTTTATCTTCTTTATCTTAATCAATATTCACCTTATTAACCATCTTTGCCTCTACACTTTTTACCTTCTTTGCAGAATTATCACAGCCTACATTGTTTCAGAAGCATTCGAATAAATTTATTCCACGATTTGGTGCATCAGGCTTCAGATTTCTGTCGGATACCTTATTTCTACTATCACTGACATCCTCCTCTTTCTCTGCACTTTCATACTCATACCAGCATAGCAAGTTTATTCTGTGGACAGTATAATTGTTGTGAGGTTACTAATAATATGCCCAGGTTCTCGTGTTGTGAGTTAATTTGTGACTTTCGTCAACAAAATAATCTAACCCAGATGAGAGCACTTGATCGCTTGGCTAATACCGAATATTAATGTTTATACTAAGGTAAGTATTTTACTTATTATTCTTGTGAAGTTTATTAATTAATAGAGTGAAACTAATCTAAACTAACTCTTTTTATTATTACTATCACTTCGATTCTTATATACATATTTGACTCTAATCATTATATCATATATTGGTCATCTGACCATTGTCTCTTAAATTGTTTACATACTTTATTTAATTGTTCATGCATCCATTAATAATAAACTATTTTATACTACTTAATTGATTTATCTATAATATATTAATTATCTTACTTCGGTATTTCAAATGTCTACCGACCGTTTCTAATTCTGATCAATCATTACGTGAGTCATATGAACAAGGCATCGATTGATTGATTGCTCTTACCCTTATTCTTAAACATATTCACTGCATACTGTATGTCACCATGACAGTATTCACCTAGACTTCAGTAACTTATGCCATGCCTTAATACATGTACTTGGGGTTAGAGCATAGTCATTAAACCCCTATCGTTACTTACTCCACCCTTTTAAGGTTCACAAACCCTTGTACTACATTCCATCACTTTCTACACCTTACTCCTTTTGGTATCATTGTTCTCCCAATTCAGATGGCCCGGAAGGATTGGTCTGCTCAGACCCGAGTTTCCCAGGCTCAAGTCTGAAAGTCTCCTGATCCTTGGTCCACAATTTCATAACATGTGATCGTTTCCTCCGGATAACTCGGCAGCCTGGTTGGTAGATCCCTCTTGCTCGTAAGATTTTTTGTCGCACAACTTCTCTAATTTTTGGGGTCTAGTCAGATCTGTTCTGTAGTACAGGTAACACCTGGTCAGAACAGTCTGCTACTTCCTTAATCGGGATTTGCCAAGCCGGTTTCGATTCTCTCAGGCTACTATAAGTAGATCTTAATAAGATCGATTAGGATGCCTTATCATGGGTTTGCACTACCTATATCAGTTTGCATTCCTTTGTGCAATGACACAAATGCATTCATGTCTCCCAGCACCAACTCGGGGTGATGGTGTGCCCTGGTTTACAAATATATGAACCCAGCCTAATTTAGAAGAACCATTGCCGTGACACAAGTAAATTATTCGAAATGTCACTAGTGGGATTCGAACTCAATATTTAGCCAACAAACTTGGGGGTGTAACAACTCTACCACTTTGCTATGTCACTACACCTTTTAAAATTAATATTTAAAGAGTTCATCAAGAAATTATAAATTAATTTTTTAGTTAAAAAATTTCTTTAAAATTGTCTATTTTTAGCTTATAAGCAAACTAAAATTTTTGTCTTATAATATAAATACAAATATTGCAAAAATATAATCTTTATTTTCAAATATTATCATATTAAATTTTTTTAAATATTTTAAATAATTAAAAAAGTAGATCAGAAACATATTTATAGTAATTATGTAGACAAATTTGTTTGCAAATTTCTACTAATTAAGAGATAATATTAACTGGATATCGTGGCTGCAAGAGCTTTGTGTTTAAAGATTAGGCTTTGTTACTGCAATAATAATGCAAGAATATTAAGTTGTACTCAATAGCAGTAAAAGGACTTTATTTATAATAATAGTGCAAAGGCTTTATACATAATTAGATACTATAGCTATAATAGTAGTAATGATCTTATATTTGATGATTAGACTCTGATAGAGTACAAAGATCTATATTGTGCTTAGACACTATAACTGCAATATTATAAAATTTGTCAAAGTACTTGCCAAATATTTACTTTAAATATTTAGTAAATGAGATCTTTTGGCTTGAAAATAACTTTATAATATATGATACTATAGAATCATTTTTAAGGCAAAAACTAAAATACTTATTAGATCTAAGCAAATCTAGAGTTGTATTTAGCTTAACTTTCCAATGATTGACTGTGCAATAACTTCATATTTATTAAAAACTGTATTTGTAGCTATAATAGTAATACAAAGACTTTATACTAATAATTAAGCAAGAATTTCAAATTAATAATTAGGCTCTATAGCTATAATAGTACTACAAGAATCTCATACTATGATTAGGCTCTATAGCTATAGTAACAGTGCAAAGACCTCATATTGATGATTAGGCTCTGTAGCTATAATAGCTGTACAAGATTCTCATATTGTAATTAGATTTTATACTATAGTAGTAGTGCAAGAACCTCAAGTTGATAATTAACTCTACAGCTATAATAGTAGTGCAAAGTTCTTATGCTGTAATTAAGCTCTGTAACTACAGTAGTAATGCAAAAATTTTATTTTGATAATCAGACTCTGTGGCTGTAATAGTAGTGCAAAAACTTTATATTGTAATTAGACTTTATGACTGCAATAGTATTGCAAGACTTTATACTATAATTAGCTATAGTAGTATTGCAAAAATATCATATTCAATAATTAGGCTCTGTGGCTGAGATAGCAGTACAAGAGATTTATATTGTAATTAGGTTCTGCAGTTGCAATTATCAGAAAATTTTTTTTATTGCAGTTTTGTGCAAATTTGCAAAAAAATTAAATAATAAATCAAATGAAAATTTGTACAAAACTTCAACTTTTATACTATAAATGCAAAAATTGGATGCAATTCTGTACAAATCTTTAAATTCTAAAAAACTTTGCAGATTTTTTACAACAATTTTTCAAAAATCTGCAAAAATACAAATTTTTGCAAATTTGCATTTATTTAATTTTCCTGATAATAGTAATGCAAAAACCTATAGTAAATAACAATACCTATATTATTATATAATACTAATAACTAATTCTTGTTATATCTATATAATTTTACTTGGTTATATTTCTATATAAGATGTAATAAATTATGAGGTGAATAGTTAGCTTTAGATAAAAATATTTTCTCAGATCTAGATATTCTAATATGTATGATATTTATTATTATAGTCAACCAGAATTTTTTACTGAAGAAAAACAAAATTTTGTTGGAAAGTCATGGTCTAATGTGTGTTTGCCTAGAGGTTAACAGTTTTTTTCTTCCGGGACTCCTTTATAAGCTGTACATTTGGCATACAAGCCAAGAGAGTTGGTATACAAAATAACTGGCAGAAGGTGTGTGCTCTTGAACATAAAATCTTGGTGCAGAGACTGAAGCCTTCTCCATCAACGAAACACTTAGACTGTTACTTCAAAATGAGGAATATAGAGGAAACAACAAGTATTTGCCTTTTTTCAAGCCGCACTTTTTTACTCGGCCAGGTGGTTTCTTTTTTTTCTTCTATCCACCCTCCTGTTAGTCTTTCAAAAATTTTGACAAAAAGTGGGGATTTGGCTTGTCCTCTTCAAATAATCAGCATAGATTACACAATATTTACATTTTCATATTCAGTTGACATGGAGATAGCAATCACGTGTCTGGCATAAGTGGACATGGTGCTACCGGTTTTGGCTCAGAGCCGCTAGAAACTGAAAAGTTGGCATGGGACGATGACAGTACCTAATTAGAAGAACCCGGACGAAGACTTCCGGAGATAGTAGGGTCAGAGAGGAATTAATAGTATAGGCAAAGCCTTACAATAGAGATATATAGTATTGCTATAAGCATATAATTTTTTATACTCGCCTGGCATGGGTTATAATAGTGCATTTTTCTTTTTTCTCGTTGGGATTGCTGACTTTTCTTTTTTACTTTTTTTGTTAGTCTATTTATGATGGTATTATATTTAGAATAGTTTCTTTTTGTGGTTTTTGGTTTTATTTTCCTTTCATTCTTCTAAATGTTTTTGGTCTTTTATAAATATGGTATATATGATCTTGCTTATAAAAGAGTAGAAGATAGTTATTCTGCCTGGATTTTGGTGGGAAAAGTTGGAAGAAAGGTTAGTGATTCTGACAAGGTATACAACGGCCAGTCCGTAATCAGAAGTACCTTTTGGGATATGAAATTATGAGTGAGTTCATGATCCCTGAGTAGACAAACAGTTGTTATAGCAGGTCGCATTGGGCATTTATACTTGGTAAGTCTTTATTACGTTAGAGCAATAAGTTGTAAGAATTTTGTACACATGGGTGTAAAAATTATATAACAGTTCACATG